TACCTGATTGCTACTAGATGAAGAAGAGCTGATCTTCCTAAAACAAGGGACTCTAGATAGGCTGACTAGACTCAGCTAGATGGACTTGCAAAGGGGAACAGCTGGGGGCACTGACAACACAGTGGGAAGTAACAGGGATGACAGAGTATATGGGCTCCAGTGAGGGGAGGGGGAGAGGCTATGGGAGGGTGCCATTTGGGATGGGGGTGTAAAGATGATTAAGATTGTTTGGGATGTTCTGTATGAAATACACACAAAAAAAATTTAATTAAAGAAAAAAAAGAAATCTCAACCCAACCTGGGAACTTTTGGTAACTGATGGCTGCTGGGGAGGGGAAATACAGTGCCTAACAGGGATGGGACTCTTGGTGGGCCCAGTGGATGGACCCACATCGAAGGACATTTAGAAACACAAATCAGACACTATAGGCTGTTTTATATTTATAAGAGAATACATTAAATTGGGCATGGGGCAGTAAGAGTTGCAGATAGGAAAGGGGATCTAAATACCATCACATTATACTGCATGAAAATGATAAAAATTCAATAAAAAAGTATGTTTTGAAAACTTGCTGGAAATATGATGGGAATTGACTGAGCCTCTAGACTAACGTGTGAAAATCTGAAAAATTAAAAACATTAACACAAGCCGGGCATGGTCACACATGCCTTTAATCCCAGCCCTCAGGAGGCACAGGCATGCAGATCTCTGTGAGTTTGAGGCCAGCCTGGTCTACAGTGCAAGTTCCAGGTCAGCTGGGGCTATAGAGAGACCCTGTCTCAAAAAAACAAAACAAAACAAAAAACCGTTAACACAATAGCATATATATTTACCTAAGTCTTCTTTGGCTGGTCTCAACATTTAATACTTTCCTAATGCAACATTATTGCATATGTTTTGTTACACATATCTTTTATAGATTTTGATGCCATGATAAATGATTTTTTAAATTAATTTTCAAGTATTAGCTATTAGTATATAGAAACTCAATCTATTTTTTGTTACTGACCTTTTATCATGGAACTTGGACAAATTCACTTGCTGGAACCATGGTGTCTTTGTAGAAACCTTGGTGTTTTTAATGCAGACAATTATGTCATTTATAAAAAAAAATAAAGACATAGGGACTTTAAAGTTCCAGAAAGCCACTGAGGCCAGGAAACATATCAGGAACAATTTTCCTGCATAAAGCTCCTAGATGAATTTTGTATGAAGTTGTGGAGATAAAGCCTAATGTGCATAGATACCTCATGCAATGGCAAATCCTGGGTGTCAACTTGACTGGATCTGGGATTAACTGTAATGAAAGAGATCTTCTTAATTGGATCATCTGAAGTCAGAAGACATACCCTAAATGTGGGTGTTACCTTCTGATGGCAGCCCGTATAAAAGGCCAAGGCAGAGGAGAACGCCAGGCTTCTTGCCGCTTGCCTTCTCTCTGGCTGGTGAGTTCACCTTGCTGCCGTAGACTGAAGACTAGCTGATCTTTTGGAATCTGTCAGACCTTCAGCGCCAGATTGGGACTACTGAGACATCCAGCCTAGTGGACTGAGACTGTGGATTCTCAGCCTCTCCAGTGTGGTGCAGCCATTGGTTTTTTACACCCGATGAACACAAGAACGTTTCTCTCTCTCTCTCTCTCTCTCTCTCTCTCTCTCTCTCTCTCTCTCTCTCTCTCTCCCTAATACACCTCGGGATATTGGAGATGCCAGAAACATGGACTATTCACTGAGAATAGTAAGCACCCAGTGAAATCAGACCCAAAAGTGGCACATGTGGTACAGGCAGTAGAGCTGAAGTGGTAGAACTACCCAGGCCCTTTGGATCACAGATGGTATCATAGTGACCCCAAGGATACAGACTTGCAAGGGTTAGTGTTTGCCCTGCTGGTTTCACTCTTGCTTTGGTCTGATCTTTTCTTATCATTCTCCTGTTCCTCCCTTTTGGAATAAGAATGTTTACTCTATGTCAGGTATATTGAAAGTATGTTACTTTTTAAAAAAATATACAGAAGTTTACAGAGAAGAGAGTACCTTGGCTCTCAGAACAAACTGAACTTTTGAATAGTGTTGGACTGTGAGGACTTTTGAAATTATATTAAATTCATTTTGTATTGTGAGATGGTTGTTAGTCTATGGAGGCCAAGGACAGAATGTTATGGCTTAAAGTGGAAAATGTCTCCCACAGCCCCATGGGTTTAAACTTTTGGTCCTCAAATGGTAGCCCTGTTTAAGGAAGTTATAGAACTCTATAAGAAGAGACAGAGCCTAGCTGGAAGGAGTGGATTGCTGGGGGACAGGCATTATGGGGTGTAGCCCAGTTCCAGTTCCAACCAAATTTCTCTGCTTTCAAGCTGCTGATATGACCTAACTAGCCACCATATGTTCTCATCACTACCATGGAATAACCTGCCACCATGTCACCTCATCATGACAGATTGTAGTACCTCAATCTGTGAGCCAAAATAATGTTCTACCTCCTGTCTTGGCAACAAGGGAAGTAACTAATACAATTGCTTATAAGCCACCCAGTCTGTGGTACATTATTATAACAACCCAAATTAAGACAGATATATATCACTAACTTATCACATACCCCTCAACAGTTTGGGGCTGGGAGATAGCTCAGTCATTAACCTGAGTTCAATCCCCAGAGCCCACATTTAAAAAGCCAGACATAGTGATGAATTCTTATAATCCCAGAGCTGGGGAGGCAGATATAAGTGGATCCCTATGACTCTCTGGCCATCTAGCCTAATCTAGGCCAGAGAGAGACGTTGTTGCAAAAAAACAGTGGGCAATGCCCAAGAAACAACACCTGGGGTTATCCTCAGTTCTACATACATGCACATACATGAATACCCAAAAGTTAATTATGTACTACTTCATAAATAACATAAAAATAAAAATATAAAAATATTACAGAATAGTTATACTTACTTTCCCATCCTTTGTTCTATGGTTCTTATAGAACTTATAAATCCTATAATGCCTAATTTTAAAATTTTTGATATTTTAAAAAATTTTAAGCAACAATATGTATCTGTTTAAAAACTAGAGGGAAAAGTAAAATATAAAAGCCTGTTATATTCATGTACATATTTATCATTTCCAATGCTTTTAATTTCTTCTACTGATCTACATTTCTTCTTGATGTCATTTTCCTGCAGCCTAAGGAAATTGAGTATTTCTTGATATTGTCTCAATTTAATTTTACAAAGGTATTTTTCTGTATACAAAATCCTATAGTTACCACGTACTTCTTTCAGTATTTTACAAATGTCATTCCTTTGTTGTATGGCTTTCACGGCCATGATACAAGGTCAGTCATTATTAGTGTCACTGTTCTAGAGTGTGACATTTTTCTCTGTGTGATTTTACAAGTTTCTCTTCATCTCTTGTTTAACACTTTAAGATATGCCTACCTAGATATACTTTTCTTTCTATTCATCTTGCTTTGAGTTTACTGATGGTCAAGTTTATGTTTTTACCAAAGACAAAAAATGTGTGATGTACCCACTGGTGAGTTACTCATGCTGTAGTGGATAGCTCCACATCCATACTCACACACACTGACTAAACCCAGTAGGTCACAAAGCAAAAACAAAAACAAAACAAAAAGATATTTAAAGGGATGAGGAACTTGATGGGAAGAGGGAGGCTAGTGTAGGTGGAGGAGCTAAGATAGAGGGATGAGCCTGACCAGAATGTATTATATACATATATGAAATTGCCAAAGCATCAATAGATTAAAAAACAAGAAAACTGAGTAATTCCTCAATTTTCTTTTCGCCTTTTTTTCCCTCCCCTCTTCAAGGATTCAAATTATGTATTTTAAATCACTTGATGTTGTTCTACATCTTGTAAGGCACTATTCTTTTTGAAAATCTTTTTCTGTGATTCTCAAACTAAGTTCTACTTACACAGCTTTAATTCTACTAATACTTTACTCATTTTAAAAAATTTTAATTTATTTGATGTGTTGGGTGTTTTGCATGCATATATGTAAGTGTACCATGTGTGCAATGCCAAGGGAGGCTGGAAGAGGGTGTCAGATCCCCTGAAACTGGAGTTAAGGACAGTTGTTAGCTGCCATGTGGGTGCCGGGAACCAAACCCAGGTCTCCTGCAAGAGCCATCTAAGCCATATCTCCAGCCCCAAACTTAACTCATTTTTTTTAAATGTATGATTAGGACCGTAAGAATATCTGTTTTGTAAAACATTCCATTTTTTAGCTAAAAATTCAACTTTAAGATTATCTTAGGGTAATTTCTTAACTGATTTTCATATTAATGATGGACATCTGTATTGTCTGAAATTTGGGGGCTACTGTAAATAATATTGCTACGACTATTTCTGTACATTTTTCCTATCTCGGAAGTTTAAGTACATAACTACAGAATGTATCTATCAACTACTTTTCTATATACTGTTAGAAGTTTGTGAAAATTCTTATTTGCCTTCATTTTAACCACAGTATTTGTGTTTCTTATTGCAAACAATATTTCTAAAATGTTTATGGGATTTTTTGCTATCTTCATATGCTGAGAACTGGTACTTTCCAATAAAGATTCAAAATCTATTTATTAATCACTTAATACACATCAATCATTGCCCAAACACTTAGAAGATGACAAAATTTGGCCCTCACATCATAAGCTTATATTCTAGGGCCTTATTTTCTACAAAGTTGATAATTTTTGAACCCTTTGTGCAGAAGGATAATCATACTTGGAGCTTTTAAAAATATATATTCTAAGCTTAATCCCATTTTAATATATGAGTAAAGAAAATAAAAAAACAGACATATACACACACACATATTTTAAGCCAGTCACATGATTCTGACCCAGGTAAATCACAAATAAGCATTTTAACACAAATAAGAATTGATCATATCAATCCAAAAACATAATCTTTGAAGGTAATTTATAAATTATGTAATATTTCTAAATTATCATGTATCCACTAATATTTAAGAAAATTAAAATGTCAGATACCTTTATCTCATAAGCACTCAGTTGCTTGCTTTCTGCTGAACTCTTTTTTTTCAAAGCCTTATTCTGTTAAAAATTAGAAATAATTACCTTTAGTACTAAATTGATTAGTAAGAGATTTGTATGTCTCTACCCACAGATTAATATAATTCTCAGACCTCATCAGAGAAGTTTCTTTGTGTAGTAGATGGTTAACACAGAAATTAACAGTTGAATAAGTGTAGGTGGAATGCTCATCTACAAATGAAACATCTATATCACACCCCACCCCTGGAAGGCTTGGAGCCAATCTTAGAAGAAGCTGAAAGACTCAAGAGTCAAAGGTTAGAGAGGACAGAGGGACAGTGTCTTCTATATGTGACAGGAACTGCTGCACTAAAGCACTCACAGTAGCTGTGGCTGCCTGTACAGGATCTGCACAAGATCAAGATCAAGCCAGTCAGCATTCTAGCATGGAGTGGGAAAGGGTTCATAAGCCTCTACCCCAAACTAAGGAGCTACGCACAACTGAGAAGATGAGGGAGAATCAACTTTTCTTTATGGGTATGGCCCCAGGCAGGTCCAGTGGCTGGCCCCAAATTTAGGCTTATACAAGCAACACAAGTTGGATTAAATGAGTTATTAAGAGAAAGAGAAGACAAGAAGTTGTGGGGTAGGGAGATGGGGTGGATCTGGAATGAGTAAGGGGGAGAATCAGAGGTGAATATGATCAAAATGTAATGTAAGAAATTCTCAAAGAATAAAAATATTTTCAAAAGACATATGCCACTGAATTACATATAAATTGCTAGAAATGAAAGCAATGTCTTCTAAAACTATAGTGAAAATCTGGTCTGATTTTGAGAATACTTATAAAGAAAACTTACCTCCCGGTGAAGCTCTTCAATATACTTGCTTTTATTTTCAACTTGTTTCTTTAAACTATTATACTGCAAAAGTATGAAATATTAAATGATTCTACTCAATATTCTGGTCAAAATAGGCAACTTTAGAGTAATCAAACACTGCATGATGTGACATAAAGCTCATTTATGATTTCAAAAATCATTCTGTTAGTATATGTATTTTTAATAAAGTTAACATTCATAAATTTCTTAATCTACTTAATAAACATATAAATCCAACTATTTTAATAAAATTAGACCTCTTGGTCAACCTTAAATAGAAAGTTGACCCCTTTTATTAGACAGCCAGAGAAAAGCAATAGCAGAGGCAAGAATATAATTTTTTTCTTCATTACTGATTATTATCTCTTTCTCCTTTCTGAGATTCTTACATTATTATATTTGGGAAAGAAGCATACTATAATACCCCACAGTCCTGAAAGAATTCCAATTCCTCTTACTAAAATACCAACTAAATCATTTTAATATCTTACTTTGTGGTATTATTCAATTTGAGTACATACAGAACTAAATTAAAATGCATAAGTTCAAGAAACATCTTAAGTACCATAAAAGCAGCACAGATTTCTAATGGGCCCTAAAATACCACAGGTGTTTTAATTCTCATAAAGGACCCTCAAGAGGAAAAAATTAATCTTCTTCATGAGCACAAATACTCTGTAAAATGCTTTTCTTGCCATACTCACACATGGTCATAGTTTATATTTTGAATATAAATTAATTCTATATGATACTGTGTTTTCTGTTTACAAGTAATATTTTTGAGATAGTATCATAGTTCACTATATACCCAAGATGACTTTAAACTGCAATCTTCCTATCTTGGTTTTCTGAGAGCTGAGAATATAGGCATGCATCACCATGCCTGGCTATAAATGACTTATCTAAACTTTTGTATTTCCCAAGTCCAAGATGGTCTCTGAGAAAGTTCAGATAAAAGTTAATCACAGCTACAGAAAAACGAGAAGCATTTGCTGATTTTTATGCTGATGAGACAGGTATAAAAACATTAGCAGGTAAAATTATTTTTACATGAAATTTTTATTTTTAAAATATACCCAAAATTTTTACTTTTGGCAGAAATCTGCTTAGATTCTCAGAATGAGCTTCCTAATAAATGTGCATAGAAACAAAGAATTTTATTTAACAGAATCCTCAGATAGAAGAAAATGGTGGTGATGATTCATTAGAGTTCAGAACTCCAGAAAGTGAAATAGGCTTTCCAGAGGACTGCTCATTACATGGAAGACTAAGTTTAGGGCAAAAGTATAGTGAGATTAGAGAAGGGAAAAGTTAGGATGGGCATCCAGGCAAGTAAAAATAACTTCACATAAAGAGAACAGAAATTTTTCTGCAGCTTAATTTTAGAAATGGAAGAAATGCCTAACAATGATGGGTAAAACCATCGTGTCATTTTAAGTACATCTACAATTAACATAGCTGCTTAGAGTATGAAATTTTAAAGATGAAAACAGAAAGCTAATATAGTTTAATGAAATTTTGTTCTTTGAAGGCTTATAAAAAAACCAATGAGTCTAGAGTCTCTTTTAAAAATCTGCAATAAAAAGACTGTATTATTACTCAGAGCCTAAGGAGAACGGAGACTTCTTTGTACAGAGTAATAGAAAGGCTAGTTCCTTCAGAATACAGTCACACATATATTTTCATAAAGTTCTTATTCCCAAACATTCTTTAATAATTTGAAAATACCTTATTTTCTAATATCTTCATTTGTTTATCTTTCTTTAAAACTTCACATTCAATACTTCGGGCCTAAAAAATAATAAAATCAGATTTAAAATGCTAACAGAATTTTATTTACTTCTTATATATTTTAGGATTTAATATTTCTCAATGTATATACATATCAAAATATTGCTTGGCATGTCGTATACATTTTGTCAATTAGAAATCACTTTCATGTTAATGTTTTATGTCAATCTTCATATTTCTTATCTGAATTCAAAGAAATTTTGCAGTATTTTATGAGCTTTCCCAGTTTATCCTGAATTTCTGTAAGTTATCTTTTACATAAATCTTTGTCTTAAATATATCTTTCAAAAACATGTATCTGAAGATTGAAACAATTCAGTAAAATAGAAAGAATAGGTATTTGTCCTGGTCTTTTTCTTCACTGCTGTGACAAAACACTCTGACCACTACCGACTTGGTGAGGAAAGGGTTTATTCAACTTACAACTCCCAGGTCGCAGTTCATCAGGGAGCCCAAGGTAGGAACTCAGAGCAGGAACCTGGAGGCAGGAGCTGGGGTACAGGCCATGAAGGAACGCTGCTTACTGGCTTGCTCTCCTGGCCCCTACTCAGCTTGGTCTCTTATCCAACACAGGCCCACCTGCCCAGGGGTGGCACTACCCCACAGTGGGCTGGGCCCTCCCACATCATTCAACAATCAAGAAAATGCCCCACAGACATGGCCACAGGCCAGTCCAATGGAGGCAATTCCCCAATTGAGGCTCCCTCAACCCAGGTGTGTTGACACTAAAGCTATCCAGCACAGTATTATTACTCATACTTTACTGATGAGGAAACTGAAGCTCAGATATATAAAGCATGTATGAAATAAATAACTGAACTAAGGCAATAGACTGGGGAAAATGTAATCCAATTGAATGTCAAGCAAACAATCTAAAAAATATTTATAACTTGAACTCCTTCCAGAAACTGTTTTAATAGGTAAATTAAAATCCAACCATGGAAAACAAAGTAAGATAGTATATCCATCTTATCTTTCATTTAGTTCTTTATATTAATGTCTTCTACATTAATAAAATAATACTTGTTTTTTTGGTCTTTTTGAGACACGGTCTCTCTGTAGCCCCAGCTGTCCTGGAACTCACTATGTAGACCAGGCTGGCCTTGAACTCACCAAGATCTGCCTGCCTCTGCCTCTCCGTTATGCTTGTATGTGTGCATTCATGCACATGCTTGTGTGTCTGCACACATGAGCATGCATGTGGAGGCCAGAGGTCGGCATCAAGCATCTTCCTCAATCACTCTCCATCTTATTTTTTGAGGTGGGATCTCTTGCTGACCTTGGAGCTGATTGATTCTGCTAGGCTAGTTAGTCAATAAGCTCCAGGGATGTATGTGCCTGTCTGCACCTCTCCAAGGCTGAGATTATAAACATGAGCCACTGTGTCCAACTTCTTCTATGCAGGTGCTGGAGATCTGAACTTGAGTTCTCATGCTTGCATGGAAAGCATTTTACCAAATGAGCCATCTCCATAGCCACCAATACTTAAATTGCAGTTAAATAAAATAGAAGAAAGAAAGAACCTGGAATTTGTCTGCTCCATTCTAAGCCCTTTTAAAAAATATCAGTTTATCTTCAGGCTATTCCAACAGTCTTACAGGTTTCTAAAGAGTAAATATAACAATTTTCAAGTCAAAGTTCTTCAATAACCCCTAAATGTATATTACCATGGCTTTAAATGATTCACATTCATCTTTCTCCACTCTCATCTCTCCACTTTTATCTCTACCCATTTTCATCTTTACCCATTCTCCTTACTACTATCCTAACTCCCTCTTTCAGCCACAATAAATGTTAATTGCTTAAATGTCATAGTCTCTCATGCTTTCAGGCCTTCCCACATATGTGGCTTTCTGTAACTTAGAATATTCTTCTATATGTTAAACTCTACCTTCTACTAATACCTTTTAATCTAAGTGAATTACATGTCTTCTCTTCCAGGAAGCCTGCCCTGACTTAAGTTTGAATTAGATGTCTTTTCTATGAGGACTAATGTTTCAGTCTGGCTGAACCCTTCCTGCAGGGAACTACTTTACTGTAAATTCCATAGTAATTCTGTTCAGATTATGTATTTAGGGCTAACCCTGTCTCCAGGAAAGAGCATGCAGTTCAAGCCTGGTCAAATTATTCCCTAGACACAATGACTGGCTCAAAAATAAGTAAATAAACTAAACTAGGCCAGCAATTTCACTTTTTTTTCAGATCTTTTAAGACTTTTAAGTAGCCTTTCAAATAATAAGTATCACATCCTCAAGAAAAACTGAGATTATTACTTCCAAACAAAATAAATAAAGCCTAAACTCTGCACCTAGAACAATGCCTGGCACAACGCCTAGTGTTAGATAGTATTTGTTGAATGAGTGGAGGACCACAAAGCCTTCATAATCAAACATGGTATTTCTACACTGGCACAATTTTCTCCCATTCTTTCTATATATACTATATTGTATAATCATGTCACATACACTATCTCAGTTTTGTGACATTTCTATTTCAACTTGTTGAAACCATATTCATCAAGGTACAAAACAAAGTTTTCAGTATATTCATATCATTACACCATGAGCCTTTTATTTAGACTAGAACATTAAATATTGAACTTTTAGATGTTTAGAATTAAATGAATTAGTTCACACAAATATAATCATATAAACAAAATAACCCAATTTAACACATATTTCTAAGGCTGATGGCCTATATACTACCTAAATCACCAGTTACGCATACAATAGTACATGTCACTTTATGTATTTATTGCTTTTAGTATTTGAAATTTAATCCAATCTATTGTTAAATATAACATACATTTTCTTCACTCTTGTCCAATTTACATTTAACTTCATCTTCTTTCTGTATTAGTTCTTTTCTCGTAGATTCCAGTTCATTCCTAAAAGGAAATGCAGAGTTACATCATAATCCAAATCATATTTTCATCTCCTTTCTGAGATGTATTAATGGTTGCTTATTAATTTTGGTTTAATTTTCATTTTGTTTGGTAACTTTTCATGCATTGCTATCAATAGAAACAGTTCCACTCCCACATTTAAGTTTATGTACATATTAATTTTAAATTACATGGATTCTTATAATTTTCCTACTTTTAGAAAATCATAGATTTAATTCAAGATTTTAATTTAATGTTTAGCTATAAATTAATCATTCTAACACATATTCAAAATGTTACATAAATAAAAACAAAAATGCAATTTATTTTAATGATATTTACATACACATAAATCATTGTATATGACCAAAGAATCTCTAGAAACATTCCTAATGAACGGTGATGCTTTTGGGAAAGGGAACTGGATAGCATGAAGTTAAGAGAAGAAAGAATATTGTTGTTCCCCATGTATTACTTCATCCATTTGAATTTTGAATTATGTCCATGTGGTACTCTTTCAAAAATATTTTAATTAAAACCTTCTCTATTGCAGGGCATAGTGGCTTATGTCTTTAATCCCAGCACTCAGAAGGAAGATCTCTGTGAGATCAAGGCCAACCTGGTCTACATAGTGAGTTCCAGGCCAGCTAGGACTAGAGAAAGACCCTGTCTCAAAAACAAAAAACAAACAAAATCTTGTTTACTGCAGACGATAATATTGGTGATTTTTTTTTCCAATGGATATATAAAGCTATTTTTCTAATTGTAGGTTCCCGTTGTAACAATAATATGTTGGTAACATGATCAATTTTTTAAATAATTTTTATTATTTTTATGTGTATGCGTGTATTGCCTGCATGTAGGTAAGTGCACCCATGTTTTGCAATGCCTGTGGAGGACAGAAGAGACTATCAGATACCCTGGAACTGGAGTTACAGTTGTTAGCTGCCATGTGGGTTCTGGGATTCGAACCTGGGTCTTCTCCAAGAACAGCCAGTGTTCTTAACTGCTGAGCCACCTCTCCAGCCCCATAATCAATATTTTGACTTTTAAAAAAATCAAGGATAGACTACTATCCTCAGGCCTCTTGG